CCAATATCTATCTGACTAAAAATACCTAACACGCTCCTGCCGGAAGTCTGACATCTGCACCCTATCTCTAAGGCTGCTCCTTCATGTTGAAAGGAGCCAGATGAAGTGGTTTGGCATCTGATTAGGGTGCCTCCTGGGTGCCTTCCAGCAGAGGTTTTCTGGGCAGGTCCATCTGATCCACCATCCGACCTCGGACAAAGTGGAAAATAATGGATGCATGGCTGCAAGGATAGTTTAACCATGATAACACTGTTGCAAGATGACAGACAATAAAATGGATGCTACCTTGTTCTCCTTTGAAAAAATACTGATGATATGTTTTTTAGAGTTAAGTAATTGATTAGAAAATATAAAAAGTTATAAGTTGTATTAAAAAGTTTCTTTTATAAAGTCACGAAGTCGACATGAAACATTTCTCTAAACAAAGTGACGCCCACGCTTTAGGTGCCTGTGGTTTAAATGCTTCATGAGTAAAATTTCAAGCTGTAGCAGGGTGAATGACATAAAGCTTATGAAGTGTTTAAAGCTATTAAGACCATCAGGTGGCCAATGAAAATGGTATATGGGACCTTTTGTCCCCAACTGTCCCAGAAATGAACCACCTGTGATTTCTCCTGTCCAAGCTAAGAGTGACAGACAACGAAGAAAGACGCAAGCTGTTCATACTTGCACAAGGTGAGGAGAGGGAGCTCTAGAAGCAGAGCAAGGCAAAGAACGGAAACAATGGAGCAGCAGAATCATTTTGCACAGTTCCATGTGTGCACCAAATTCTGAACCGTCTGGATTTATCTTATTTGTTTTTTTTTGTTGTTTTTTTTTTGCAACAGCTTGCTGCATAAATTTGCATATTAGTGATTAAATATTAGTCATTGAACTGAAGCTCCTCTCTCGAGTGTGAGGCTATAGTTTACAGACGTTGTAATAACATTGCTCATGTTGTGCGAAGATGTACATTCAAATGCAAAGAGCTCCTCTAATTTATGCAGGACAATTTAATTAATGACCTCATTAGCATGGGTTGCTGTTTCTTATATGTCATTGTAATTGTGTTGGGATATCAGGTAGCTTGAGTGCCTTGTTTTAATTTATCTCTCATTGGTATGATGAGTTCTCTCTTATTCTCCAGTCAGTACTATCATTTTTCTCCCTTGTGTTGAAGTTCAGTGTGTTTCTTTATACACATGTGCAAGGCTGGACAGTGTTTTCTGTTGCATCAACTATATAATGGTCTATGATAATAGGTATTTGTGACATGCTAAAAACTGCTTTCAGTAAAAACATGAAACTCAAATGTAACAAGATGCAGAACGTCTGCTACCTGTAGAATGAAAAATCTATTATGACCACTGCTACTTGTATGTTTGATATAGCCAGGTAACTGTAACGAAGTCAAGGCTATCTGTGCATGGCATTAAAGGGGGCCGTGCAGACAAGCTGCCGCCTTTGTGCGCCGTAACAAACCTATAAAGGGCAAAGACACCTTGAGGTCTTGTGTGTAAGGCTCGTCAAGTTGTACAGAGAAATACTAGCCTGAATCCTGTAACAGATTTACGAGCCTTTGCTTTCAGCTGGCTGAGCACTGGTAATAGCTGTGTGTCAGACAATGGCTTGATAATGTTGGGTTCTTTTCTCCACCAAAACAAGCTGGTGATTTACTGTTCCTGACTCGCCTTCACAGAGAGGGAGTGAATAGGTAGAAGTGTTTTGGATAGAAAGATGGGAACAGAGGGAGGACTTGCCGATGCTTTGCTATCCCATGACAGAGTTTCCTGTTCGACTGGGGTGGTTGCCATGGTCACTATTGTGTTGAAACACTTATAGCGACACTGATTGTGATCGCTCTGCTGTTATTGATAGTGACAAAACCTGGCCAGTATCTGCTTTTGTATTCTTTTTGTTGCTCTTCTCCTCCCCTGTGATTTATTTTCTGACTGCTGCACATACTGTATATCTCTACTGTGCTCAGTGTGAGAAAGGTGTGTGTGTTTGTGTGTGTGTGTGTGTGTGTGTGTGTGTGAGGAGTATGACTGCCATCTGCTGTAGCACTGTGAACATTACAGCTTGTTGACAGCTTGCACAATTTGTCAGGTTAAATGAAGGCACATAACATTGTTCCCGTTTTCCACCCTGGCAGGACTTTTTATTTGCACAGTAAGAAAACACAAGGGGGTGACAAAATATAGTGATAAAACTCAATGATGGAAGATGGAAGAAAAAACACAATTGCTGTTGTGAGATAAGTCCATAAGACAGACAAAACAAATCATGATGGCAAGCAAATTCCCAGCTGAAGTGAACAAAAACTAAGTGACAAAGCATTATGAGGAGAAAATAAATCTTTATTAAAAGTATTAAAGTGCAACAATAACATATGAAGGCAACATTATGTCTGTCTTCCCCAGTCACCGCCTGGAGGTGAGAGCTCAGATTGCTCAGGCTTTCCTTGCCAAGTTCCAGTTGTCTCATGAGGAGATGGCCACACTGCGAGGGGCTCGAGATGCACCCATTACTGAGGTAATCTCCATTATCATGTATACTGGTGAATTATAACAGGCAAAGATTCATCCAATACAAACTGACAGGATGGTGAATGCAGTAACAGGCATTGCCTTTCTTATCCGTAGCAGTCTTTTACCTTGCATTTTTGGTTCAGAGGCTCCATTAGACGGATTTTCTAGTTGAAGCGTGATCAGTCTTCTCACTCTGCCAACATGCTGCCACATCTTTTTCCTACCATTCTTGCATCATTTTGCACAGTGTAACAATTAAACTAGATAGAGGAAAAAATCCAAATGATATTAAATACTTTCTGTATACTTATGGTTTGTGCATGGATAATCTAGCATGTGGTTTACACCAAAAACATGCGAGTATTACATGGATAGTTACAAATGCTGCGTTTGGTCACATCAGAAGCCATTTTGAGCAAAGCTGAAACTTTTTTCCAAAAATACCAAACCATAACAAAATAAAAAACCCACTATACATTGGCAAATTAGCACATTTGCTACCCATATTGCTCCTAATAAATGCATTTATGTGATGTTAATCTTCCCAGGATTTCTTCAAAGCTCTCAACCAGGTGAAGCACATCCACGAGGATGTAAAAATCCTCTTGCGAACCAACCAGCAAACTGCAGGGTAAGGTGCACATCTGACTACATAATGTTACTCTGTGATCCACTTCCTGTAAGTGCCTCTTACAGTCATTTTATTTTCCTGGTTCAATTCAACAGACAAATAGAGGAAAAAAAACAAAAAGCATCCATGTCTGGTATTTCAGGGATCTAACACTATACTGCAGGTCATATAATGTGCAGTCTTGGCCTGTGTGCTTGTTCCAGGTTAGAGATCATGGAGCAGATGGCCGTGTTACAGGAGACATCATATGAGCAGCTCTACCGCTGGGCTCAGGGTGAGTACAGCACACAGAGTTAATACCACATATACACTGAGGGATAAAAACCAACTCACTATCACCCCCTTTGCACAAGGTCTCTATCCTGAACTGAACAGGTGTTGCTTTGTCAAAGTCAGACACTCAAGCAAGTACTTTTTGGCATGTTTACTTCCATTTCTCCAAAATGTTGCTTCTATTATCGGATGTGGCTAAACTTATATAAACTGCACTTTCATGTCAGAGTAAATAGCCAGTAATGATGTGTATAGTACTTGTTGGAGGGCACGTGTGAATCATAACTGCTGACACTGTCAAAAGAATGTTGAGATTAAAATGGAACAAACTATCTTGATCACAGAACCTTGCACAGACCTCATCTATGTAATCGCAATCTGTACATAAGGGTGAACTACAGTTTTAATAAAATATTACCATGTGTTGTTTGAAGAACGCATTTACTTGTATTTCCAGCATTAAGTAACATCCTACAAGAGTGGAGTGTGTGTGTTGACCCACTTTCTCCACAGTCTGCAAGACTGACCACTGTTCATATATTCTATTGTCAGGAGCATAAGCAAACCAATTGACTTTTTAGTAAAAACTGATGGAAAAATATGATTAAATGAAAAATCTTCTTGGTGCTTTGATCTGCTTCTTGTCAACACGGTTACCATGGTCAACAACATTTAGCACAGTGAATGTAGTATAACAAGCATAGTTACTACAAAGACTGCAGCTGTGTCACTGGTTGGGTGATAGTGCCCTACTCCTAACGCTACATTGCTTGTCCTATTTCTTTCTTCCCTCATAGATGAATGCAGGGGACTGACCCAGGAGACTTGTGATATCAGCCCTGTCATGACTCAGGCCATGGAGGCCTTACAGGACCGACCTGTCCTTTACAAGTAACATATAAACACACACAAACAGCTTAGTTTGACAAAGCACAGAAACAAAGTGTCACTACCATCCATAATCTCTAAATATCAGTGTTTATGCAAACATTCTTAGCCTCAAGTACAGAAAGCAGTTTGTGCTCATATAGAACAAAGAATTGTTGAGATCTTAGAGATTTCCTGAGGTTTTTCTGAAAGTTTAACTTTGTCCATAAAACAAAATAACACAAAGAGAAGGTTCACATGTTACCTAAGGATATGTTTTCATGGCAAATGCGCCTTGTGTCTGATTTCAGTCTCAGAAATGCACCTGTTTCAGTGCCCAGAAAGTGCTCAAGGTCATTGCTGGCTGGGGATGTTGAGGCTAAGAGAGTGGAAACCAGTGTTCCTGGAATCTTAATTCAGCACTATCTTGTGTTTAGTCTGTCACAGAGCCTGCCACAGCCAAAAAATCAAAACAACCTCAAACTCTTTTCTTTTGGAAAAGCTGCTTGCATTGTTGGTGTATGTCAGCGACTGACCTCCGACACGCATTTTGCACGAAAACACCGTGGCCACTGTCATTTCACATGAGGTTTGTGTGTTGAATGTTGCATCCTTTACATGAGGTTTGTGTGTTGAATGTTGCATTCTTTGTCTGTCTGGTCAGGTACACCCTGGATGAGTTTGGGACTGCACGCAGGTGTGCAGTGGTACGAGGCTTCATTGATGCACTTACCCGCGGTGGGCCAGGAGGAACTCCTCGCCCCATAGAGATGCATTCACATGACCCCCTGAGGTACACCTCTAATCCATTTATAACAGAAAGCATTGGCTCTCTAATCTTATTTCACAGTTGAATATGGTCATTTCTTAATGTAATAAATTCAGAAAGAAACTTCAATTTTGATGGAAATTTAACTCTTTGTCCAAATACCCAGAGTTGAAGAAAGTCGTGGATGCTTTTGTCAGATCTCTGCATTGAGTTTGAAGATATGAGTTCAGTGTAGTTTAGGTCAGTTAGTGGAAGTCTGTCAAATTAGAGATTGGCCCCTTAAAAATAGGAACAACATATCGAGTCCTTAATTTAAACTTAAATAAAGATATTATATGATATCAAAGTTATCATAATGCTTCCTGTTAACGTGCTCACAGCCAGACCTGATGAATACTGAACACTATATATAATCTTCCACTTTCATTCCAGAGTATTTTGCAATTGTAAGGATTTTGCATGATCTTGCAAAATGTTCATTTTCACAATTCAGCAGAACTTTCTAACTATATACAGAGATATCGAAATAGAATCAGTGATTCTGTTTAACACTGGAGATTACAGGAAATATTGCTCAATTCCTCAAACACACAACTAGCCCTGTAACAAATATTCTACCATGTAAGTGTAGTTGTCATTATCCCTGACCTACAAACCCAAATCAAAAAAAATTGGGACGGTATGTAAAATCTAAATTAAATCTAAATTAAATATTGATTTGTAAATTATCTGTGTCCTGTATCAGACTGAAAACAATACAGCAGCACATTATTTGATGTGATACCTCATCAATTTTATTCTTGGTTCAAAGTAAACACAATTCTGATGCCTGAAATAATGTGCTGCTGTACTGTTTTCAATGTAATACAGGTCACAGATGATTTACAAATCACTACTTTCAGTTTTAGTTTTGGTTTTACATACCGTCCCAAGTTTTTCTGATTTGGGGTTGTGTAAATGAATAAATTTAGTTCCAAACTCCTGTGAGTCTTAACTTTTAAAGCCCAGTTTCAGATGATATTAAATGTCTATTTTGTCAGTTAGCGTCCAATTGTGTCTGTTTCCTTTTCTACCATATTGTTTTCCCTCTTCCTCTTGTGCCCAGGAACTAAATAGGACCTTTTCTCAGAATACCAACCATGTGTGGAACATAGAATCACCTCCACTTTATAGGAGGCAGCAGCAGTTCTGAGAACATTAAGTTCTTTCTTTCCTCCCTGTGTCCTCACACTCACTCTGAGAGACACACACAGAGCTATCTTTGAGGACATTCACTGACATAAAGCATTCCCCAGCAATTTACCCTAATCTTAGCCGTTGCAATTAAATGTCTAACCCTAACCGCATCCTAAACCTAATTGTAACCTTAACCCTAAAACCAAGTCTTTGGTGTTACTGAAGTTTTGAGGACACTCACTGACTTTAACCATAACCATCATTAAAAAAAATCCCTAACCCTAACATAAATCCCAGTTTTAATTGTAACCCTAAAACCAAGTCTTAACCCCCAAATAGCCCTTTGAAGGTATGAGGACTGGCTAAAATGTCCCCACAGTGTAGAAATGTCCTCATTACCATGGTTTTGAGCTCAGGGTTGTCCACAAAAACATAGAATAACATGTATATACACACACACACACACAGACTTGCACATAATAATTCCAACGTTATGTAACACCAAACGCTGTGTGTTTATGTGAAACATAATAACCCCATGCATCATTGTAGCTGTGGTCAGTGTGTGGTCAGCTTAGCCCTCGGGGTGGCCCCTGAGTGACGTGCTGTTTAATACAGACTGTTTGGTCGACCTTTCAGGTATGCTGGAGACATGCTGGCCTGGCTGCACCAAACCACCGCCTCAGAGAAAGAGCATCTAGAAGCTCTGCTAAAACAAGTCACTCTGCAAGGTAGGCTTTCCCTAAAAAAACACAGCAATCACCTGAGTTTGAATGATGACACCTCCCCAAAACAAAGTGAACTCAAAAAAATAAATGCAAAAATTGAAGTACACATGAATGTGTGAACCCACATGCTCAACATATGTGTGTGTGTGTGTGTGTTGTCTTACATTAGGTGTGGAGGAGAACATGCAGGAAGTAGTCGGGCACATCACTGAGGGAGTCTGCAGACCGCTGAAAGTGAGCAACCAGATCTGTTTAAGATCAGTTCCACTGAATGCAGACTGCATGTCCCATCATGTGCTGTACTTGCTCAATGTGTCATGGATCTGTTCCTCAGGTTCGAATAGAACAGGTCATTGTGTCTGAGCCAGGTGCTGTGCTGCTTTACAAGCTTTCCAACCTGCTTAAGTTCTACCACCACACCATCAGGTACTGATTAGTCAGTTAATCACGCAACAATAAATTAGAAGGCAGCAATTTTGATAGCTGTTTACTTATTTAAGTCATTTGTAGAGCTAAACATACTTTTGTTTTATTTTTGCAAATTGGGGATTTGCTACTTTCCTATGTTTTATATCATTGTAATCTAAATATCCCTTTGTTTTTCATTGCCATTTGGACAAAACAAGCAATTTAAACAGCTCTTGGAGCTTGTGATAACCTGTTATTTTTACATTCTATAGACAAATTTGTTGATTACTCAAAAAAAAAATAAAAATCATGCAGACAGTCGGTGGATGCAGCACTGGTTGACTTATCCATCTATTTGATCTTTGTTCAGCTCTATTATTGGGACCAGTGTGGCCTCCTTGCTCATTACAATTGAGGAAATGCACATCCTCAGCAAAAAAATGTTCTTCAACAGCCTGAGCCTTCATGCAAGCAGACTCATGGACAAGGTACCTTATGAGGAGGGTTTTTATTTGGATAGTCCACAGTATTGTTTACTGTCCTTTGGCCATGCACTTTATTTCGAGTTGGCCGCTGTTTGTATTGTATGTATAAATATTTTTTCTTCTGACCCAGAGTGATTTAAGTGCTTCAGTAGATTTTTTTTATAAAATCATTGATAAAGAAAATGTAGACAAAACCAAATCTAAGTTGTATTCATACTAAAATTTATATAAACAAAGAAAGATCAGTCATTTAGATAAGTGACTAACAAACTAAAGAGACAATACCATCATCTAAAATAAAGATGGTTCAAAGTCTCCTCTCTTAAAATAACAGTGCAGAAGTCCAGTGTTGTACCTCGTGGACCGACTTTGTGTATTTCAGCTTTGCGTCTAAACCCTCAAAGACAACAAGGCTATTTCTGAAGCACTGATGCTTGTAAACAATTTTGGCCTGCTGGCCACAGCACTGAAATGGCGTTAGCTGCCAAAAAACAGCAGAATTGTTACTGTTGGTTAGTTAAATTGTCATCCAAATATACCTCAGCACGAGCAGGAGCTCTTCCATATTACATGCTTGCTGTGTCCTGATCAATAGCAGTTATAAGAATTATCCCTGTAGCTCAGTGTTAATGAAATTGGAGGGCCTCGAGGTTTTGGTGTCAATTCCAGCTAATGCCAGGAACACAGCCTTCTTGTAATTTGCTCTATTAGGTAGACAAAGGTAACCGGGCTCAGTTCTATTTATTTTTTTTTTTGTCTATCCAGAGGCCAATGAAATCCAAACCCTCTTCATTATAAAGCTCTACTGACACTGAACAAGCTGAGGCTCAGTGTAGCAGAAAGGAGCAGCTGTATATTCAGTCCATCATGCTGCTCATTATGGGTGTTTAATGCTTTGATGATGCTACGAGGACCACTTGTCTTTGTGAAGGCTGCAGCTCACACACAACTAACCTCTGCAAGAACAACTTTGCTCTTTTGCTCTGTCTACTACATATTTATTATCTTCTTATGTCCCTGACTGTGTGGGTAGGTAGAGCTGCCACCCGCGGACCTGGGACCTACAGCCTCCCTCACTCAGACTCTCTCCCTCCTCAGGGAGGTGCTGGCCTCTCATGACTCTTCAGTGGTTCCTCTGGATGCTCGCCAAGCTGACTTTGCTCAGGTAAATAAGCGTTTCTACAATGTGATAATGGTGAGAAAAAGGGTTAAATTCATTTTTTTGTGATACTGCACTTGAATAGGTGCAGTTTCTCTTAAATCTATGAACATCCTAATATTTAGTATATTTATTACCTGGTCATAAAAGCCATTTCTAACTTGCCCTTCTCTTAAGGCTCTTTCTTACTTTGTCTTTACCAGGTGCTGTCTTGTATCTTGGATCCTCTTCTGCAGTTGTGTACTGTGTCAGCCAGTAACCTTGGCACTGCTGACATGGCTACCTACATGGTCAACTCACTGTATGTCATGAAGACCACGCTCGCTTTCTTTGAGTTCACTGACAAGAGGCTCGAAATGCTTGAGTTCCAGGTCTGCTCAAATTCCAAACAATTATCAATAATGAATCAGGCAGACCGGGGTGGTGGTCCCTCTTTTTAAGAAACGGGACCGGAGGGGTGTGCTCCAACTACAGGGGGATCACACTCCTCAGCCTCCCCGGAAAAGTTTATGCCAGGGTACTGGAGAGGAGAATTCGACCGATAGTCGAACCTCGGATCCAGGAGGAACAATGTTGTTTTCATCCTGGCCGTGGAACACTGGACCAGCTCTATACCCTCTTCAGGGTGGTGGAGGGTTCCAACCAGTCCACTTATGTTTTGTGGATCCGGAGAAGGCATTCGACCGTGTCCCTCGTGGCGCCCTGTGGGGGGTGCTCTGGGAGTATGGGGTCCGGGTCCCTCTATTGAGGGCCGTCCAGTCCCTGTACGACCGGAGCAGGAGCTTGGTTTGCTTTGTCGGCAGTAAGTCAGACTTGTTTCCGGTGCATGTTGGACCCTTTGTCACTGGTTCTGTTCATTATTTTTATGGACAGAATTTCTAGGTGCAGCCAGGGGCCGGAGGGAGTCCGGTTTGGGGACCACAGGATCTCATCTCTGATTTTTGCAGATGACGTTGTCCTGTTGGCCCCATCAAACCAGGACCTCCAGCGTGCACTGGGGCGGTTTGCAGCCGAGTGTGAAGCGGCTGGGATGAGAATCAGCACCTCCAAATCCGAGGCCATGGTTCTCAGTCGGAAAAGGGTGGCTTGTTCCCTTCAGGTTGGTGGAGAGTTCCTGCCTCAAGTGGAGGAGTTCAAGTATCTTGGGGTCTTGTTCACGAGTGAGGGAAGGATGGAACGGGAGATTGACAGGCGGATCGGTGCAGCTTCTGCAGCAATGCGGTCGATTTCTCTGCAGGGCGGCCGGGCGCACCCTTAGAGATAGGGTGAGGAGCTCGATCACCCGGGAGGAGCTCAGAGTAGAACTGCTGCTTCTCCATATTGAGAGGAGCCAGCTGAGGTGGCTCGGGCATCTGTTTCAGATGCCTCCTGGGCGCCTTCCTAGGGAGGTGTTCCGGGCATGTCCCACCGGGAGGAGGCCCCAGGGAAGACCCAGGAGACACGCTGGAGGGACTATGTCTCTCGGCTGGCCTGGGAACGCCTCGGTATCCCCCCAGAGGAGCTGGAGGAAGTGTCTGGAGAGAGGGAAGTCTGGGCACCTTTGCTTAGACTGCTGCCCTCGCGACCTGGTCCCGGATAAGCGGAGGAAGATGGATGGATGGATGGAATCAGGCAGTTGAATTATTGTTTGGTTTAGCTATCTATTTATTGTTGATAACAATTAGTCAAGACTATGAATTTAATAACACACTACATTTTAGTAGGACAATGCAAACTGAAACATGAAACACCAATGTTATCCAACATGATGTTCAGCTTACAGCTGTCACATTGTTTGTGCGTAGGGGTGTTATTTATTTTTTATTTTTTTCAAACTCATAGAGCCAAATCTTTCTTTTTTTAAACATCTAATTTGCTATCGAATAGAAGGGTATGTGTCATATACTGTATTGTTGTTCATGCCCAAATGTCTGTCCATTTTTAACTCATCTTTTGTAATTGGGCACCACAAGAGCTCCTGTGGAACTTTCATTATTAATAGCACAGCGATTCTCCATTAACCACAAGTACCACTGGTTTACCCTGCAGGGTTGGGCTGAATTTTAAGCCACTCTCTCCCACATTTTCTAGATCGAGGCTCATCTTGACACTCTGATCAACGAGCAGGCGTCCTACGTGCTGACCAGAGCCGGGCTGAGTTACATCTACAGCTGCGTCCAGCAGCACAGTACTGAACAGGTCTCACATGGAGCACTTAACCACACTTATACATGCACACGCTTGTGAAGTTATAGAACTGTGAATTTTTTTCCTCACATCTCTCCTGCTAAGCTCACTAATGGTTCTTTTTTTATTATACAGGCCCTAACACTATTGCTTACACTACTTACTTGGGCTTTACAATAGCTATCACTATGGTTACCACATGACCAGTGTCTTTGTTAGAGCATAATAGCATTTCTATCAGATTTTCAGATGAGAAAAGGACAGAGGGAGGCAGATCATAATATGTTCTATTAAAATATATTAGCTTCTGCAGAAGCGTTCTGTGCTGATTCCCTGGACTCTTCCTCCCTCTTTGCAGCATAGTTTGTCACTCGGCTGACTGAGACCCGTAGTTGTGGTTTAGCATGCAAGTCTTGAAACCATAGGTCATGTCAGGACACACCACACCCTGCTGCTGCAGCTCACTGCAAAAGCTCAATGAAGAACTGCCATTCTTCACAGTCTGCTTCTCTCCTTGGGTGGCCTGTCCTTAAATAGTCTTCAGTTTGAAAGGTTAAGTCTGATTGTCTACACTTGACCAGATGTCAGTGGTTGACAAGAATCCCCACATTTATTTTAGACTTTTCAAGTTTACTTTCACTATCTGTTGAACGTTTTGTCCATATGGTTTTCACTGATCCATCAGGCGAACAAGTCAGAAACAAGACAGCAGTTTTCAAAACAATACTGTTCAGCCAGTGACCTATAAAGCCAGTAAAGCAGCTAACAGATGAGTTAGTATGCTCGTAGTATGTTTGTTAATGCGCCCATATCCCATAAAAGCACTCACTGTGTACTGCACTGTTACTTTGACCCCTGCGCTGTCTTCTATTTGCTGCTTTTAATGTTGGCAATTTAGGCATTTAAGCTTGACATAATGTTGCCATTCTGCATAATCAGTGTCAGCTAATTGCCCTAAAGGTACCCGGTGTTGTGTTCACAAAGCTAGCCATGTATGTACTCTGTCTAGTGATTTAGGATGGGAATTTCTGTTGTTCACAAATTAAAACTCACATTTCCAAGTTAATTTTTCCCCTCATACATTTTTAGTGCTCTAAATAAGAGTTCAATAATAAACCAGAGTTTTCAACATTATGAATCTCTTACCAAATGACATGTATTACATGTAATGCATTTTACATTATACAAACAGTCTGAATCTCATATAATGAAACTGAGGATAGATACAACAACCCATGAAATCAAACATATGTTTACCCAACCAGTCAGCTATTTATAGTTGATGGGATAAATGCTTATCATGTTACAGATGTTAGATGATATAGTCCAGCCCTAGTGTATGCAATGGTTTTTTTCTTTTTTATAAAATTTTTTTATAGACTTTTCTTTTTCTTTCTTTGTTGTTTTTTTTTTACACAAAAAAGGGAAATGGCTTTTGTTATACACTGAGATGGCTGGAGGTAATGTCACTCAGGCATCATGGTGTCCCTGCCTTCATCCATTTTTAGCCGATGCTCTATACTAATGACACAGGAAGACACTTTTCCCATGATGCCTGCAAACATGAATGAATGAATGGAGGACTTCAGCCACCTGACCTTTGTTTGTTTCAGAGATTCAGAATTGTTTCTGTTCAAACATTGTGACCTTGAGTTGGGTACTAAGCTGACATTCATTTTTCTGTGACAGGGTCCTCTGTCCCTCCTCCCCAGCATGGACAGCTCCTCTGTGAAAGCAGCAATGGTGAGTTACACTACATGTATTTAAGCACATTTTCCTACACAGATTAATTTACTTAATTAATATTATGTTCTTTTGACACTCCACCTGCTGTTAACCGTCTCGGCCACACTACAGGTCCAGTTTGACCGGTACTTGTCGTCACCAGACACTCTTGTGATGCCACAGCTCAACTTCCTGCTCAGTGCAGCCATCAAGTGAGTTAATGTCCCTAATGATGACTGTAGCATCCTTCATTCAGGGACACAATACATGCAATGTTGAGGCTTCAAGTTGAATGTTTACCACTTCGCAGATTGTTTCAGCCAGGTAAAGAGTATATTCAGAGCGATAAAAATAGAACATTGGCGACCTAGTAATGTTCAGCATTCATTAGTTTCCCAAATGTAATGCGATCATTACTGCATTCCAAACAAAACACTCGACTAAATGCACGCTGAGCTTGGATGCTAAATTGCTAAAACCACCAACACATTGAGAGAGCAGCCGGCAGCAGGACTGCCTGTATTTGTCTTACTGATCAGAAAATGCACATGCTTTTAGCTCAATCCAGCTGCTACTTTGGAAGGCTCTTTCTGTGAGTCACATTTACTGGGAAGTGCAGCAGGCTTGAGGATCACTCTGTACCTCAGGTTAATGTTCTCTATTAATGGACATGGGGGGGACTGATGGGCAGGACACCATTAATTAGCTTCTGGCCCATTTCTCACTCACACTCCTTCCCTGAAATCATTTCTCCTCTTTGTCTTTCTCTCACTCTCCTGCTATCTCTCATGTCTGTGTCTCTGCTCACCTAAATACACAAAACACCTGCAAGAACTCTAAAAACACTTGCGGAACAAATAATGGGGAATGTACTCTTAGATTCCTTTCATTTCACATTTTGTGTTAGTGCACGTGGTGTGGAGTAAGGTGTTATACACAGCGCTGTGGTTCTGTGTTCTCTGTGGGCCAATTAAAAGTATTGATCTCAAGAGCCTGAGTAGGATACATGTGAGATGCTCCCACTGTGTCCTTGAGTCCTCTCACTGGGCTCTTCTAGTTTGACTGGAGCGTCCTTCATTCATACTCCACTACAAGAAATAGTCACATTATTTGTATTTCACTTAACAATAAATGCTGAGGTTTTTTTTTAAGACAAAACATATGAAAATCATCAAATGTTTAAAATGACTTAAGAAATTACTAAGTAGCCAGAAAGTATCTATCATTGCAGCTTTAAAATAAGACAAAGTGTGGGTGAAAAACAATGACCTCTTCATTGCATCATTAACAAATCTCTGGAGCTGGATCCAGAAACCCATAAAATTAAATATACACTTGATTTTGGATATTAAAGATGGTTGTAAATATGTTTAGGGGGGATAAAATTCCCTCATCTTAGCTTCCTTTCTTTATTAAATCATTATGTGTTGCTGAGGCTGACGTGATGATTATGCATTAAGGCTGTAGTATGTATCCATAGATGGCAGTGTGCACCACATACTGCCGCTCCGATTTTAAACAGCCAGGGCACACAATAGCCACTGAACAAAAAGCTACCTAGTTCTTAGTGGTGACTGATTACAGCGTACTTGTGCTTGACTGCTTCAGACTAGAAATGTTGAAATATAAAAGGCCTGTTCACTGCTGCTACTTTGTTTTGTCAGTGACAATCTCAAGAGTTTTATTTGTTTGTGCAGGGAGCAGATATTCCGTCAGTCGACAGAGCTGGTGTGCAGAGCCTATGGAGAGGTTTACACAGCGCTGACCAGCCCAGCTAATGGCTATAAGGAACCAGAGAACCTGGTACCCAGATCCCCTCAGCAGGTTCAGACCTTGCTGTCTTGAGTGACACTTTTGTCCCATGTAGTTACCTCGAGCGTTGGACTTCCTGCAGCTTGCAGCTGTCATTTGTGCAGTGTAATAATACACATGTATATAAAAGTAGTTGTTAAGGATTGGTTCTTTGAGGGAAATGTGGGATGTGCATCGCTGACCTCAGAGAGAGACATGCCTGTATACAGCGCCTCCTGTGTGCCAGGATTAAAGACCATTATATATATATATGTGTGTGTGTGTATATGTATGTATGAGACCCTTTTACATTCACAGCTGTAGACAGTTTCCTTGTTTTCCCATCCTTTATTCTGTCTGTTTTCACACAATGTACCCTGTATGGGGTGTACAATTGTACAAAGCAATGTCTTTTATTGAAAATATTGAATGCTATAAAAAAACACACACACAGTGAATTTAAGAGACTTGTCTTATTTTCCACACTTAAAATTGGTCAGGAAAAATTCAGCCACGATGCCAAGAAGAGCCTCAAAAGCTTCAGCACAAATGTTATGTTTATTTTAATCTAAACTGTTTTGAGTTACTGGGATAAAATAGAAACAGCGTCTTGCCGTCTCATTTGGCTTTTCAGACAGTCTACAATGCTGAGATTTGAAATTGAGAGAATAACGAGAATGGATTTAGTCATTTACCATAAATTCTACCCTTTAATGAATCTTTGGCCTTTCAAAACATGATGGTGTGTGTTTTGTCACTGTTAGAACAGCTTAAACACCATCGTAGTTTTTAATGTACTGACAGAGTAAACCAACTTTCTCACCATATAGTGTCTTTAGGACCCAGTACACCTAGTTTTCTATTTCTGGTTTAATATTTTAAGTGTTTGCGAATATCCAGATAATGCAGGAGTGAGTGGGAGAAGGTCAGATAGCTTTGGATATTGTCATAGTCCTTAAATTATAAAATTATACGTATCTGTTAAAGACTTTAAAAGGCTTTGTTTTCACAAGGACACTCTTCAGCTTTTATAAATTAATAGGTACAGAATCCAAAAATGAAACCTCGCAAGAATTGGTCCAGAATTATATCTAGAAAATGTTGACAGGCACAAAGCTGGGTGGCACATTTGAAATGCATGAAAAAGTAAATTAAGCCAATTTTTCTATGAAATGGCAAGTCATACATTATTAAGAATCAAATTATTTTGTGTAAAAAATGAGTCCCCACAGCACTTTCTTTAGCTGAATTTAGCTGCCAATACAGATAAATGAGCTCAAATATGCTGCATGATATAAAATAAATGTTATCACTATCAATTCTAAATAAACAGCAAAATGTTAGTTGTACTTAAGGCAACAATTTGTCATTGTTTCATATTTTTCATTCATTAATACTGACGGGCATCACATTTTGACTCTGGCCACTGGGAGAGGCCGGTGCCACCCCTGGCCAGCCTCTGGCTCCACCCATGTCAAAAAGTCAAAAGGATTGATTTGCTGCATTATTGTCAAAGTTGCTACAGGCTCATTTACAACACAGTACAGTCATTCCCAGTAGGGTTTTGTTTCTCTCTCTTTGACATGGTGACATATAATATCAGAGAAAATCTGACGCCTCCCAGCCCATGTAATCCTCAACAAGGCTCCACTGACACTGTAAAGATAAGTGAATATTGATCCTATCTGCTGTTACGGTCTCTGGCCTGAGATGCAGCATTTCATTTCATTTCTGCTATCTGACAACAAGGTTCATGGCAGCAGGCCTTATCTTGGCAGTACTGCTTACACTGAGTCCCAGGATTTCCCCAGCTCACTGGATGTTACTCAGATATCATTGGCCAGGACATTGAGTACTGGGAGTAAATGGAACACCACAAAGTTCAGCATCTGAACGGCGCTCCTAAGTCCTTTAAATAGACCTTGGCCCTGGGTGGATACAAGCTGGAATCTTGACTGTTTTTACACAACACTCTGGCAGAAAGTGGAATGATGTTTGAGAAGCAGGGTTATTGAATAACAACACACTAGTCATGTGTGACAATACACACAGTGCAAGCCTACGCTTACTCGGCTCTGCATCAGCTGTGCGCGAGTACGTGTGGCCCTGCATGGTCCAGCATGGGAGAGCTTGTTCCTTGTGATGGCTGCATTAATGAGTTAGCAGATGTTGGAGGTGACCACTTAGAGGCAGCTAGTGTTGAGCAGGGTGGCAAACATTCATCCCATCATCCGCTCCATATGACAGCAGCCACCACGCTTTTACCTGCTGAAGCATGAAACTAGCAGGAATCTGGGTTAAGGGATACCAGCGACACTGAGTTAGTTATTGTTCTCTCGCGCGCTGGTGGCTGGTGATAAATGTCGATTCGCATCTGGAGTCTTACCTCTAGCCCCAGCAAACTTCCAAGGCTGTTGGTTTCTTATGAAAATATTGAGATTCTTCAGAGTTTGTCATGACATCTTACTGGCTTTTATTCTATATTTTTAATTGCACAGTAGATCAACTTGTTACAAATTTATGCTTATCATAGAAACTGCTGCAAGTTTTAACTCACCAATGCAATATGAAGTGGTAGTGGAACTATTTTTTGATCAAGTCTAATTCAAATGTCTAAGATTTCAATTGTAGTTAAGGCTAAAATATTATGTGTAAATATTATTTCAGAACCAGTTTGCCTATGAACTTTTAATTTTTAATCATTTTGATTTATTGACTTCTAATAAGCACTAACTGCTGGATCACAAGCCAAATCTTGTGCTGTGGAGACCTGAGTCTACAGATTACAATCTGTAAATGCTCCAGATGTTTGTGTGGAGCTATTAGGTCTAGCAGGTCAATGCAACACTTCAGCCTTCAGCTACATACATACAAATAATGTAGTCCAGTACAACGCCACCTCTAACTATGACCTCAATAATAAACATATAATTGAATTTATGTAATTTTGACAGTTTCACCATTTTGAGCTTCATAAACACAGATAAGGCAGAAGTGTTGCACTGAGTTGCATACAGTTGTACAGGTGTACCTAATAAAATGGCCAGTGAGTATATATTCTGTGATGATCCCAGGTCATTTGTCACTGTAGTTAAACTTACTTTTCTGAATAGCAATTACTAAATGCCCAGAATGACTAAAACAACCAACAGCAGCCTCCAGGGAATTTGGAACATGCTAAGCTTGGGGGAAAAAACCACCCTTTATCATTGCTGGTATGTTTCCTTACCAGTGACACTATGGTTCAGACAAAATACCTCCTTTTTTCCCAGTTCTAATCTTCTCACACAAATAACGACCTGTCTGATAGGAAGTTGCTAGGAAGTCGATGAAATAAAGGACTTTGTGCAGCTACAAAATAAGACAAACGTAAAGCACACAATGTTAGTGCGTTAATCTGTTTTGATTAGGCTCTTCACTTCATAAACTACTGTACTGCAGATTATGAATGGTTACATCATGCTCTGTCCATTTGCTAAATATTACAAGCTTTCTGCAAGAAGATACTGTATGTGTAACATGGTCTTAGTGAATACTATAGTATGCTTTGTGTCTGGATGTCATCACCTCTGCCAAAGTCGTGGTTTGCACTGAGCCCATCACCCCTAACCTCTCATATTCTGCTCATCAGAATAAAAATATTATTTATGTAACATGCTCTTACACAGTGTATGGAGAGGAAAGCATAGTGACCCATTTTTACGAGACTGAGGCATCTTCTACATAATATTAGAGCTACTCATAAATATTTCTCCACATTACCTTTGTTATTTGGAGAGGTTATCTTATGTCAAACCTCTTTCTTTCTTTGAAGGCTATTGTGTAATTTGTCTATTATCACAGGAAGGGGGACACTATGAAGTACTGACCTGAAACACAGTTGCACAGTAATTAATTTTCTCTTCTGAATCTCTGCCATTCCCATCGCCCTGAACAGCCTGTCATTTAGTGCACTAAACACAGGCCTTCTGAAACTTCAACACTGCCTCAGAAGTCAGCATTTGCTGCGTGTGATTTTGACACATAATGTTATTAATGCACGCCCATCTGCCACTGCTACTGACAGGCACACACCCTGGCTGACCAGATGCATGTCCAGGTGGCCTGATAAACAAAGCATATCAGAGACGTGAAGGGCACAGTGTAGATAGTTGTGGGATGAGAGGAGAGCGCCGAAATGACTGGCTTTCTACGGCCAAAGATTAGCCAATGATGGAGCTGTGCTGTCCTCACGCTGCTGGAAAAGGTTGGACCCCCCACTGGTGCCCCAGATTGCTTGTACAGTATTGCGTGTGACTGTGATACTTCATTGTGTAAGATTTTCCTCCCAGCCAAAAACATGTTTGTTTTTGCTGGTATGAACACTTTGTACAGACTACTAGGCCGAACACGTTCAGTAATTTCTGAATTGTGTCAGTGACCGAGTTTGTCCTTTGTTGTTGATTTAATCACCCCTAAAAAATATTTTGCTTTTTCCCCTGTATGAACATGAATTGTTTTTACAATGTTGTGTTCAAGACTAAAGTCAGATTTTGGAATCTACAGGTGTGTATTATGTGTATTTACACCAAATGCTTGGGCGCACTTTCCCATGAACCTGAATGGGAAAGGCTGTACAAACCTTCGACTGGTAGTGCACTTCACTTGTACATCATTCACCATGTTCATTAGTAAATGTTGTAAGCTGGTTTTTTTTTTGGCCAAACGTTTACCAGGGTTTCCACCAGCACATGACCAAATCAGTGAACCCGAAAGACAGACAGCCCTTTATACTCAAACAGAAAAAAGAACAAGAGCATGTAGCAAATTCACCATGACTAATGCCTTTGTGAGTAATACAACATGCCGGCGTCAATCATTACTCACGCAGAGAGCAATGGCTCTGCTCTCACTGGCTGAATGCGGCTGTGCTGTCCCGTGACTTCCATCCTGAAGCTGATCGGGGCCAATTTCTGTGTGTGTGTGTGGGGGGGGGGGCCTGACCTGACCTTGGTCTCCACCTGAATTAGGGTAACAACTTGGTCAGAGTTAGGCAAGTAGCTGTTTTAGTTGATATTAAGGTAAGTCCCCAGAAAATGAATGCTAGTTAGTGTAAAGTTCCCACAAGAGATGAAAACAAACATGTGTCAATGCACAAGTGAGGAAAAAAGGCAGCAACTATATGAGCAAGAGCTGTTCTTGTGCCGGGGTCATGGTCACAGACCAGGACGCCCCGCTTTCATGTATCCATGCTGTGGCTGCGTTACACATGGCTGTGTTTTGATGCCAGA